AATTAGTTCAAGGAATGCATTTCAATGAAGCTGTTACCATAAGGGATGCCCAGAATTATAGTTCTCTTAACAAGAAATCAGTGTGTAGGTGTAAGTTTATTAACAACTTTATCCTGTTTTCATTTTTTCATTCCTTATATAGATATTTTTGCTTTCTCATTTCCCTTTTTTGATAAACATTTCTTTATGAGATTGTCGGTCAATAAATAAGCGCTCCATGAGGTCAATGAGCTAAATATGTCACCATATGGTACTGCATCGTACTAGATGTCTAAATAATCAGGTTATTTATTATAGATGCTTAAACATTGTATTAGAAGATTAAAAGTAATCTCACATTCCAGATGTTTTGAGGTTGGACAGTGATGATGGAAAGTTATTTGGTGTTCTGTATGCTTGTACTGTATGCTTAAGTATCTCTTCCCATAATATTAATCCCATACTTCTGAGCTGGCCAGTGTATGCACAGATGCAACACAGATATAGTATGTCAACCTTGTTATCATGAAAGCTCTGGTTCTATCTGAATATTAAGGATTTAAACTCTGTGCACGTGTGTGTGTGTGAGAGAGAGAGAATAAAAGAAAATCATGGTCAGATCTCTCCCTTAAAAGTTCTGTTTTACAAGGAGAAAAATATATACATTCTTCTAAGATATATACATTCTTAATTCTCCTGAGTTAAGTTCGACTCCTACTGACTGCTCCTAATTTCCTTGGGAATGTTATGGAAGTGGTTTGCCACTTGTGGGATGTAGTTTCAACTTTCCAGTCTAGATAGAGCCTTAGAATTCCCAAGTGGTCCCCCCAACAATATAACTTCAGAAATAAGTGAAAGTTGGCTAGATGGTGCCACCTACTAAGGCATATCATATATGGACAGATCAAACAAACAAACAAACAAACAAACAAAAAACCACTGACAATTAGAAGTGATTTATCTAGGTTCTGGCCAGAACCTAGATAAAAATTAACATTTGTTTGAGAGAAGCCTCCGAGGGATAGAACCCTCAAAGTAACTCTTAGGGAGAATACCAATGATCAGTTTACCGATAAGGTCTGACAGTTCCTTTGATCCGAAGACCAAAGCTTTACTGCTTTCTTTGATTAGCCAGCAGAATTACATATCAGCGTAACATGTCTGTTACTGAAAACTTACACTATACACTGGTTTCTAAAATATAATTTTGAGAAAACAGCTTCCTGTTTTTGAAGCACTGGAAAATATATCTGACTCTGCAAAATCTTACAGAAAAAATAAAGATAGTCAGAAAAATTGCCATGGTGACCTGCCCTTAGCTGGCAGCACAGACATTCCCTCTGCTGCCTATGCTGGCAGCAAACAGCAGGGAAGAAGAGCTGCAGCTGAAATCACAACTCCCTTGCTCTCATTTTTGGATGATTGCAATAAAACAGTGCTGACATACAGGAAAACATATTCCCCCAAATGACTCTTGGGGCACAGGTCTCTATTGTTTGATGGAAATAGTACACATGCACATATACAGTTTTTATTTGTGCCATTATTCTCCCTATCCTGTTATTCATTGCCAAATTAATGTTAAGTTATACATAATAAAACATTCATATAAAATATTTATGCAGTTATAAGTAATAAAACATTTAGCTTAAAGTAAAAGGTGTTATGATGTTACAAAGGTACTCACCAGAGAGAGGATCTTTGCCAATTATTAAGACATTTGGCAAATTCATTATGATCAGCTGCTGCAGGACTTCCTAAAAAAAAAAAATGAAAGAAATACAAAAATGAAAGAAATAGTCATTAAATGTCACTTGTCTAGATGAAAAAAAAAAATCCTTAACTCTGAAAATAAATAAATCTGGCCATGGACAATGTATGCTCAATTAAATCATACACAGTATTAAACTTCATATGAAAGCGCAATCACTTATCTTAAAATACATCTGCAAATAGTTAATTTGGGGAATTATATGTGGTATGTGACCATTTACACTCTGAAACAAAATGCATCCAACCCCTCCTTCTTGCAAACCCTCAAACAGGACTGTGCATTGCTTTATATTTGATTCCCAAAAAGGTGCTTCAGAACCACCATGTAGCACAACTCTTTGAAGCAGCCACTTCTTTTCTTTGATTCATGTGACCGTTGCTTCATCCTGGAAAAAGACCCAGCTGCTTTAAATGAAAACAGATATGTACTATATTCAGGTTCTCATGCACACCAAAGCACCTTTTTGGAATCAAATCTTAAGCATAGCACAGCAGCATTAAATAGCATTTGAAAACATACCTTTTCATCTAAACTGAACTCTATCTCCCTCCTTCCGCATAATTTCTTTATGGCAGGGATTGGCAACTTTCTGAAGTCACAGAAGGCTGTGATATAAATGGGAATGGTGACAGTATATCAAAAATACAGGCAGAGCTAGGATTTTTGTCTCCAGAGGGCTTTTCTACCCTACAGTTTGTGTGCTTCTCTCCTCAAAATGGTAGGAAACACTCATTTTTTGGTAAATGTACCACTGAACTTTGGAAAATTCTTGAAAGGCTGGTAAAGATTCTAGGTCTGCAGGTTAGCCTATCCCACTTTTTAATTTGTATTAGACTAATCTGGTAGATTATTTGGGGGAAGGTTGGCACACAAAGCAATGGGAGGATGCTGTGGAGTCTCTGGATTGACTTCCTGATTCTGCAGATTTTCTTTTGTAGAATCGTTCAACTCCATTTTTCTCTCAGAAAAGAAAATGTAACTGATGAAAACTAAAACATTTTCCCCACAATTTATTCTATGATAGAGAAGCCACTACACAAGTACTTTGCAGGCTGGTGCAGTCACATAATTCTTCCCCTTCTAGGCCATGCATTAGCCATACAAAGGTACAGGCACTGCTCACACAACATAGTGAGGCAGCTAGAATTTTGGAGGCCCAGAAGAATCTAGCTGTGGCAGGGACAGTGAAGAGGTGTGGAGGCAAAGAAAATTGGTGCAGGAAAACTCTCTCCCCTCCATATCAAGAAAAAACAAGCAATACAGTGGTACACATCAAGCTCCTTTGGCCAGTAGTATCTTTCTCCAAGGGAAGCCTTTCTTGCTATTTAATCTATTTTCACTGAAGGGTTTCAGATATTGACTCTAGGAGTGTCTTTTGCACAACCAACTCCCCTCAGAACTGAGAGTATGATATCTCAAAATGGATTTGGCACAATTAAGAATGGAAGGAGTAAATGTTTTTATCCTTATAAACTTATGCTGGATCCATAACGCTGTGCTAGCCCAGGACCTTCAGTCAAAATTTCACTGCATAAATTACAATGGCCTGTTAGGAATGGTGGACTTAACTTCCTATACTTTCAGATTTATTTTTCAACATATATTTTAACTTTGGTTACTGGCTTGGAAAAAACAATTTCAAAATTCAGCTTCTCTTTAGGCCAACTTGAAAGCTATTACTTTACCCCACTGAAATTCTGGCAATCTTTGTGAACCTTGTTGGCTCAATCGTCAATTCCAATAGCTGAATTAATTGATGCTGAATATATAAGGAAAATATTTGGCCATATAGAATTATTTTGACCTTTTATCCATGAAAAGCTCACACTACGGGATAACTGCAATTTAAGAACAGCTGGTAAGTTCATTGGAAGGATAAACTGTGTGTTTCATAATATCAATTTGTTTGGGCCAACTTAGTTCTAATGAAGTAGTATTTAATATTTTTCTGTGGAATTTAAAATCAAGATCTATTTCCCTCAGAGTGTTTCTTGGAAGTTAGTTCAACTTAAGCATTTGTATTAATTACTCCTAATACTATTGCTACTTGTGAATTTCCTCATCTGTTAGGTTTTGGAAGAATCATTTGAGGCTCCAAAACCAGAAAACCATTGTTATAAAAAGATCAATTAACTGGATTAAATTTATAAAATTTTTGCAACTTTTGAAATAATACATGTCAGATAGATGTCTCGTTCTTGTAAATCAGTGAAATGCTGATTTAAAGAATGTTAAATTAATCCAATTTGATCTCAAAATAAGGTTAATACAACCTACATTTTTGTTTCATGAATACTGGATTCCTCAGAGCATGTTTAATAAGGGTTAGTTGCTCTTGCCATGCTATTGGAGCATTAAGTCATAGGATCTTGTCAACTTCTGGAGAAGCAATGGTGGACCGAAGACAGCTCTGCAAGAGCAGAGCTGATGGCTGTGGTAGAAAGAGGAGCCAGTGAATGGATCGGCTCCTCAGAATCCCTCTTCAGATTAAGGAGAGGACTACGATCGCCCATAAATTTGGTTCAGAAAGGTTATCTGCAATGTTATCGTAGAGTAGTGATCTCCGGCAGATTTGAGACCTCTGGGAGCTGGGGCGAAATCATCCTGCCTAAGCTGCACTTCCTCTCTTAATTACCTTAGGAAATTGCTTGTTATTGAACTTTTGGACGTTAACTTGTGGGATATTATTTGACAGGATTAAAGATCAAGTTTTTTAAAAGTAAATGGAAGGAATACAAAGTGAATTCATTTGACCAGGATTAAAATATAGATGTTGTGGTTTCTGGTAGCTATTAATGGGATTTCCTTTTGATCAGGCCTGAATGATGAGGCTTTAAAGATTTGTTTATAAATGGGGAGAGATTTCTTTTGCTTTATTTCTCAGAGAAAGTGATAAATTGAATACAAAATGTATTTATTTGATTAAGGTTAAAATGTGTATGTTATGATTTCTGGTAGCTCTTAATGGACTATTTGATGAATAGGACTGAAAGATGAGTTTTTACAATTTGTTTATTGATAAGAGATGCGATATGGGAAGAAGAAATCCCTTATTTATTGAAACACTAGAGAAGGTGTTAAGTTACTGAAGTTGTTTATACTTATCTGGAGGGAGTGGGGAATCATTCTTTTATATATCTCTTTTTCTTATTTTTTTTTCTCTCTCTTTGCACTTTTCTTTTTTCTTCATATTTTATATTTTTCTTAGCTTGTATTAGTATTTTATCTTTGTACTTATAAACTTTAATAAAATTATTACCAAAGAGTCATGTGATCTTGTCCAACAGTAAAACTGCCAGAGTTTGTGCTAAAATACACAGGATTGTTAACATGACTTTAGATTACTCGCTGCATCTATATATTCTGCATATATTCTTATTGGTTATATCCCCAATATTCTTAATTTATTAGGACATCAAGAATATAGGGAATTTTCTTAAGAGGAGGGTGTGTTTTTTTTTTGCTTTCTTGCAACTTTTTTTTTTCCTTTTAGCTTATACTATTTTTTATCACACTTTTAAAAACTTTTAATAAAATTATCTGGAAAAAAAAAGAATATAGGGAATGGCCTAAATTATTATACAACACTGGGAGGATGAATTTACCCCTGACTTGCAACAATGGATGTGTTGATTGTCAAATTCTCAGACTTTTTTTATTTTTTGACAGAGAGAAGGAAAAGGTATTTAGAGCAAATTGTTCAAACTTAGAGTCATTTTGTTCACAATATAATCTCCTATGCCTTTCCCCCCTATTTTATTGTTATTCTTGTTTATTTCTCTTCCTGTCATTTAGTTTGATATGAACCTTTTTTAAAAAAAAATTCTAATCAGTAAGCCATTATGGTAGGCATGAACAATTTAAATGGAGGAGGAAGAGTCAGTGAGGCAAGCAAAGAGTCCTATCTTTCTCCTTCCAATTTAGATACGACTTGTCAGGGTCAATCAGGGTCAGAGAGTTAAAGAAGTAACATTTGTTTAGCAGACTTACTTTAAAGTCAGCCTCAGCTTTGTGTAAACTGGGACAGTGGTGCAGGTGGCAGAATGTTTAAATGGCCAGAGGGCAGGGTTAGCAAACAAACAGCTAGGAGAAAATATAACTCAGAGGGCATGTAAGTGACTGTCCAACCTTCATTCAAACTACTGAGATTGTGGGAAGCGCGCAAGATAAATGAGCTTCTTTATGAAACTTGCAGAACGCAGACCTTGTTCCTAGCGCTCTAATATTCTTCCTGCAAAGTCAATGTTCAGCTAATTTTAGTATTTAGCTCACTAATAATGACATTGGCGCTACCAATGATTTTCCCACTAAATGTGCTAGATGGTGAAACATTTTGATATTTATGGATAATCCTTGAAAAGAGCATCTTTTTCTGCCCACAGATTCTATTAGTAATTTAACATCAATAAGTAAAATTCACACCTTGTTTAGCAAGGATTCCAAGATGGTACAAATTCAAGATCCAATGCACATTTTAGGAATCAGATTTCATCACATGGCAATGTAAACCCCAGATCTATTCATAAACACATTTTACATATTATACTTACTCTTGCTTAATCCTATCTTGTTTCCCTGAGCAGTATACTACAAATAGAGAAGATTGGAGATGACTCTTGAAAAGTATATCTTACTCTTTATCAGAGTTTTCATACTGGGACCAAGGAGAAAGAATCCTGCCATTAAAAAATAACTGATCTATTAGTAATCTTTAAGCTGGCAGAGCTATTATGATTCAGTATTTATAGCAGAGTTGAACAATCTTTGGGTATTACGAGAGGAGAGGGTTGAGGATTGCAATGGACCTGATGCTGCGACCATGAGGCATATGTGGATGAAGTTAGGATTTTCAGTCCTAATTTAATAGTCATTTGCTGGTAGAGTATCTCTCCAGTTGAGTTCCACTTTAATCCATTGTTGAGAACTCTGAAGGGCAGTTATCAGACTTTAAGCCATTATCTCCCAAATTCCTGGCCCGCATAG